TTCAGCTTCGCTGTCGTCTGTTCATAATCTCTGACCTAATATGCGATCACATGCTGCAACGTATCCGTATCATCTCTTCTTCAACTTTGGGAGACTTGCATGCGCATTAGCCAGTGCTAGTCCGTGACAGGCCAGGTCCATCTGTAACCCCCATCAAACACTGAGCAGATGCTAGGAGGACAACAGTGAAATAAGAAGTTCAAGGGCATTGCGGAATCCCTCCCAACAGTTTGTAGTTTTCGGAGACATCTGAAGGTATACATCATTATGGTTCCAAGTTTGAAGTAGAAACTGTGGCTCTCTGTCTGCTGCGGCCACAAAATACGTAGACAGGAAGTGTGTTAACACTGCATCATGGGATTTTTCATTTGGAAATGCCGCGGAAAGTTAACCAAAAGCTTTCTTACATCACGGACCCGGAGAAAAGTTAAGGCAGTCAGACACCTAAGTTTCAGTTTAGTGTTTACATCCGCCTTAAATGTAGTCTTTAGGCCTACGTTACTCATTTATGAATGGAAGGATTTTGATGAGTATTTTTGTTCGTCGCAATCAGCCGACAATTCAGATATGTCGACCAGCTATCCGGAAAAGCACCAGATGGCCGTTTCGCCCTATTGGGGCGATTCATAGCTGCCGTAACCGGGAAGACCTGACGCCGGAAGGCCGACTGCTGTCATCTGCATGGCAGTGGAGGATGCGTCGGGCTATATCGCATTTAGCTAACAATTCATGATAGTCGGATACCGTCCTCCATGGTGCAGCTGCATAAGCTGCGGGCTAGTTGGCAAAAGAGCCACTAGCAGTCATGGGTTCGATCCTCCGCAGAGGACCGAAGGATGCGCACCACTGATGAGCCCCAATAGGGCGAAACGGCCGTCTGGTGCCTTTCCGGATAGCTGGTCGACATATCTGAATTGTCGGCTGATTGCGACGAACAAAAATACGTTACTCATTTTCCTGATGAGGCTTTAGCACAGGTGGAAATAGCACCCTTTGATTTCAGCGTCTGGAAAAGTAATTCGCGCTGCGTTCATGGAAGCTATCACAAAATCCCATAAAATCTCCTAAGGCACCAAATCAGGCAGCAACCACATCACTTCAAACATATAAGTCCCAGTATTTTTTTCGACATCAAGGCGGATAATCGTTGTTCACGTTGGCATGGCAGGTATACAGTTGATAAAACATGTTGGGAACTTTATCAAAAGTCCCATCTCCCTAGATTGTGATAAATGATAAATGTTATATTCCTCGGTGTTTCGAGGTGCAGTCCAACTATGTGGTCTGATCAATGTGTACAACAAGATCGCAAAAATATAATCAATTTGTTCACGCTTTTTACAATGGATCCAAAAACAGGTACTAAACTAATTGGCAGGATTAAGGCATTAAAGAAAATAAAAAGCAGGAACAGTATCGTAAGCAAATTTAAACAGATGTTCAGTTAAAGTAATACGGCCACTAGTGGAACCATCCCCAGGGGACCTGCTTCCATGCAAGGTATTCCCTCGAAAGGTTTCGCTCGCACTTCCATGCAATAACTGGCCGTGTGCCGGTGTGGCATAGTAGCATATGAGCCATCACCTGCATATCATATGTTTTGTTCATTTTAGAGCTGTTTTTGAACATGTATTATGGGCCATGAAGGTTCAGCCCAGTCCGTCATGCGGATCATTCTATTATGGCACTTTTTTATACGCCAGACAGTTGGTGGCAATTTGCCTTGCATAGGTAACGTCTTTTATAATCTGGAAGCTGTAATCCGTCACCACAGGAGATCAGTCCAGTCGTGGCCAACTATGAAATAAGGAAGAATATGGAAAAGAAGAATTCTGTGAAAGAGGTACTATATCGTTAATGTAAGAAATAGGCAGGTATGTTTTGTACATCGGCGTAGAAATCGATCGAGCCGATCATACGATAAATTGTGTAGCGTGACACCCGGAGACAGATGACTGTACAAGTTGTCCATAGGCAAAAGTCGCGTAGGGAATCAGTTATTGCCATACTTGAATTCAAGTATATGTTTCTGGACTGTTAGTTTCAGAAAAGAGGGGGAAATGATTAGCACTGGAGAACAAATGTAGCGAAAGGGATCGCAGAACAATATTACGAATTAATCAATTTGTGGGGAAAATTACGAAAATAGCTCCTGACGTCACACCAGTAAATAATTTTGCTCTCGGTTTTAAACAGAAGACAGCTGATATGAATTAAGTTTAAAGGGAGTAAAACCGCATGGAATGTAGCGTTAAGGAATAGCATAAGAGGCGTTTTGTATCAGCTCATCCTAGCTGATCAAGTTTTCTCTGGTGCAGTAGAGTTTATGTTCTCCGGTATCATACATGATCCGGCCCTTCTTCATACAGTTTTTCATCATCAAATTGAATGTTTAAGATCCATTTCGCTCTGTCCGTTGACAGATAAGCCTTTATCATTTTCTTGAACATGCAGAAATGTTCAATACATCTAATTTCTTTTGGCAGCTTATTCCAAATGGAGCCATACCTAAGAAGATAGAAATTTCTCCTTAGACTGCTCTTGAATTTAGGTAAATATAATATGCATTCTTTATCTCGCAGTTCATAAGTGGTGTTTTCCCGAAATTGCAGTTGATAGGTTCCAATATATGCTTTCCGCCACGCGAGTTTGTGGAGGAAGCACAGATTTAGTTGCATTCTTCGTAACCACAGAGGTTCAAGATTCAATTGCTTGCACCTATCTCGGTATGAAAGAGCGGTTGAACAGCCAAATATGCGCTTCGTAAAGGCGCGTTGGACGTTTTCAATGGCTCTCAAGTCAGCCTTTCGCAAGTTACTGAACACAGCACAACAATATTCAAGCGAAGGCCAGATACTGATTTTGAAAGCAATTAGTCTGGTTTCTTTCAAGGTTAGCAGGTGGCATATGAGCCCGACCGACTGCTTAGCCTTTTTCAATATATGATTTGTATGCACGTAGCAGTTCCTTATCATTGAATGCCACAATTCTGTCCGAAACATTCACACCCGAATCATAAAGCACCAGTACGCAGTACCTCCAGGGGATGTCAAAATGTATGGTTGTTGGACAAGGTAAACGACCGCTTTTTCTGTGGTTCAAAAGAGTTCTCGCAAAGGAGGATTGATTGGGTATATGGTCCATTACTTTGTTACTCAACGCTGACAACACTCTTCCCACTACAGTGTGAGGATTAGCATTAGTAAAGCTCATGTCTAGCGTCATTTTGACTATGGCAGCATTGGCTTCTGTTTTGTGATGAAATGAGTCGTGACAATGTGCGGTCGGCTGTTGTAAGATGTCGTCTCGTGTCCTCATCAGTGGGTGACACTTCATAGATCGGTTGTGACTGCATCTCCAAGTAACAATTCCAAGCTGAGTGTGAAAAGCGGGGTATTCAAACCCCAAGTAAGTCAAAACACAGTTGTCCTTCTGAATTGTTGGATACGCAATTGATAACGCTTCAAAAAGAAATAGAAATGTGTGAAAGATTAATGCACGATATTGTTTCACAAATCAATAAAGTGCCTCATACAGCATTTCATCGCCACAAATTTCAAAACGGCAAAAAGGGACAATACTGCAATTCTGCTTACTGGAATCAGTCAGTTCAGGTATTCCCATCAACCGTTTATAAACCGCTCGTGGAGTAATTCGGCTACACACACAGAGATAGCCAAAGAGCAAGAGCATTGCCTAAACATTGGCGATCGTAGGTCATTTGATCCCGACTAGAGTTTCACTCGGTGGGACGCGGACGCCAACCTTACAAAGGACATCAAACGATTGATCCTCTTTGGTCACTAATGCCTGCGGAGCATTGAACACATATGGTTGGAAAACTGGACGAACGATTCTGGCGTCCGTCACTTGATTTTTGACAAGAAACCACCTGAAACGCACTTGCTGACGCCTAACCGCTTACGTTGGCTAGATTATGTCCTCGTATGCCCATGGACGGTCTTCCTAGGTGTGCATCATATGCTGTTGTTGAACCAAGTTGGATGGAACCACGAGGTGGTCATTAGATGACATGGCACAGTAGAATGAAAAAGTTGACCAACAGAGTCTGTCAGGATAGCATTTGACGTATTCGCGGATGAGAGCTTCAAGATGAGCCACATGGGCGGTTGCAGACCCTGTTGAATATGTTGCTGTCTCAGTCAGTGGCACTTCCTAATTCGGTTTCTTGCAACTATTTGTTGAAGTTTCAACCCGATCAATTTTACTCACTTCTTTTCTAACCCTTTTGGTTAGGAAGTCCGCGTCTGGCAAAGCACTGATGAGACGCAGAAGGCCGAAATGACTGTAAAACGCTTCTCCAGACGTGCGGGATCCTGCCTGAGAAGTGACTGAGACGAACTACATCTGCAGTTTTCCATTCCATCTCACCTTCTTACGAGTGATAATTATTGTTATTCTAGCAACGCGAGTCGTGGCAACTGGATCCACCGGACGTCCGTAACCGGAACAAGGCCGTTTTTCCTGAAGTGAAGTCAAGAAAGCGCATCCAGGACGGATGATAATTTAGCTGTAACACACTGACCTGACCTGAACGATTACGAATAACCACAATAGCAATCTGTACCTAAAATGCGGAAAACACACAAATCAAGAATAAGACGAAGTTACCAAATGTCCAGGTAAATGCAAGACAGGTCCACATGAGAAGAATCAGAAAGATTTGAGAACACGCGCAAAGATTCGTTGAACGCAGTAACCTAAACATGAGGATACTATGGGACGGGAACGGCGATAAACGCGTAGTGTAGTTCAGGTCGCGAACCTTGAGAGTAGCAGAGCGCCTACGTTTTCGATAGCCAAACATCGAAAGGTAGCATACCGATGTATTATGGCCGGAGTAAAGCAACCAGGAAATGATTGCTCGCAGTAGTAAAAATGTACGGTTTAACTTTTCCGGATTGCAACAACTGCGTATCACCTCGAGCAAGACTACACCTGGAGTGCAAAATTGTGTAACCAGACGGCAGCTTAAACATAGATTGTTGCGGTGGAAGCTCACAAAACAAATAGCCGAAATATTGAAGACATGTAATAAGAGTATGCGGATTTGAGGAGCTTTAATTGCCGTCAAAAACATACTGAGGGGCAAGTAGAAATAAGCACAATGGGTGAAAAAAAGCAATCAACCCAAGTTGCCAAAATCAGTACAAAAATAACACCTCGATTGGTAAGTCAAAATCAAATACGCAGTTGGTGACCCATGATCACTGGAGACCTTTCCCGCCACGTTCCTGGAACCACGCATCGCTCTGATCCTGTGACATCGCCTCAGAAAGCAAACGATCCGCATGGGGGTCGACTTGAGACAACTGACGAAACGCTTCATCGCCCACAAAGCAAATCTCATGTCCATCCTACGGTGACAAGGTGGGGAGCAAAAGAAAAGTGAACGGACCAAGTTACAGTCAAACCTGTCTAAAGCAACCACTCAAGGGACCGACAAAAGGTGGTCGCCATAGATAGGTTCATGCAAAAGGATATTATTCATATGAGAAAACGTTGAGGATAATATTTGGCTGGTCACCATAGCAGGTTGGACTGTGTCAATCTCAAGTCAAAATAAGTTTTGTGTAACCGAGTAGATGTGTTTCCAGTATTTTACAATAAGTACTCCGGATGCTCTAAAATAACAGCACTAAAAGTGCAAAATTGCGCAACTGGAAAATGGGTATTAGGAGCACAAGTGTCATTCGAATAAATGGTCCCGAATCTGTATCTGGTGGACGGCAGTGTCGAAGCCGAGTATATCGATCAGGAGAAATACTTTTCAAGTTACAAAATGCCTTCTGATTAATTAACGTAGTACACGCAGCATCTCAAAGTCCACCTTCAGAAAATCGGCGAAGAACAGCAGTAGTGAACTTATAACTGGTCTAACCGAAGAAAATAACAAAGTGAAAACGAAGAAATCCGAAACAGTTTAAAGTGATGTGCAAGCGAAAATGCAACGGTTGATTTAAAGGCCCCGCCGCATTTTCATAACCACGAGGATAAAAAGTGGCAGCAGTCGAGCAGCATGAAAAGGGAAAATAGGTCGAGGGGGAATGAAGGGAAGCAAGTGGAAAGGTAGATTGAAGGTTTGGAGTACAGAAGCCTACTTAACAACAGACTGTGCTGTGTCGGGTGTTGTCTCAAACCACGTTCACGGTTGATCCCGCTGAGTCTGTCCATCAACACACTTCAGCATACTGGGCGATCCCTGCCCAATTGCATCCGTCCCAACAAGATATTCAATGGATAGCTAGTGTTATATCTTTTAGTTGCATACATGCATGCAGGCTTGGCTGGCGCGCGATTTCGCAGGTTTGAGTCTCACCTGATGCTTTAAAAGTTGGGCGAGTCGTCCTCGAGGTGGCCAGTCCATGACGTGGCATTGAGGCATGAAAAAATTGACCGAGAGGCTTGGTCAGGCTGGTGAGTGACCTCGGAATGGTCCACACAAAGAGTTGGAGACCGTATCAGACATGGCGCACTCACGCAGTCGATGGCGTTCCTACATTCGGTCTCAAGCATCTGGTTGTTAATTTTCGTTCCATTCTGAATAGTTTAACGCACTCAATCCTTGCGCTCATTTTCTCAACGTTCTATTCGCCCCCCCAAACTCAATGTTGTTATTTATTATTATTTCTACAGTGTGAGTTGTGGCAACTGGATCCACCGCACTTCGGTGCTCGGATCATAGTTGTTCAACTGGACCGATTTCACAGATGAAGTTCGGATAGGTGGACGCAAAATGCTCTTTGGTGAACATCCTCGTTGCTGAGATCATCGGCATAAGCTGCTGCAAAAACGGAGTAGGTGCCAAGTTCCATGGAACGAGGGAACTCCTGAGTCAAAAGCGAATCAACGCGCATAAAGTCTTCCGGCCAATTGTTTCCAGTTGATATGGTAAGCAGATTTGAGAGGCTATTGTACGAATATCGTCAATTACAGTTTAAAAAAAACGATCGCCCGAGGCGACGATGACAAGAGTTGCAGGTTGATCGAACTAATCAGAAAACTCCCGGTGATGAGTTCGTAATTGATTATCGACGGAGAATTCTCAATAATACTGCTGGTACGAGTCTTCCAGCGTAGGGCAATGTGCACTAAGAACCAGCGGTGATGTGTCAGTAATTTACGTGTGGTTCCATCATCTCTGATCCGTACATAATGTACGAATCGCAGTCGTAATGGACATTATACAGTATGACTAAAAATAACTAAAATGGAGACATGGTTGGCGGCATCCGGTTTCGGATTTGCCTGTCACTGTGGCAAGCCACAGGACGCCTGCGCCTACAGAGGGACCATGGATGGCTTGCGCTGCACTACCCACAGCTCCAACCACACACCCCATATCCAGTGTAAACGCGAAGGAATAAGACCGGGAGGCATGCGGATGGGAGCCACGTTTCATCAACGGAGCCGGCCCACACTCCTTCACAGGCAAACACAAGCACACTGTATTTGGGAATCAAGCGCACACAAGGCGGTGGCTGGACCGTAGTCCGCTCCATGCTGAGTGCATGGAACCACTCTTCGAGCCTAACACGGCCACAAGGACCGTGCATCCCGTCCCCTCCAGCAACGACCAACTGTCTCCTGGAGCCAGTATGGACGAGGTAGTGGGTAACAGACAGGTAGGCACCTTGTCAACATGCACATCAAGCGCAGCCACACCGGGGATATCAAACAACAGCCAAACACTTGAGAGGGGGGGGGGGGAAAGAAAAAGAGAAAAACTCGATTAATGCATAAGGAAACGGTGACATAGACCTTAATTAAATAGCATACGTAATAAGTTGTTTACAAACAAATCCTTGCTAAGTGCACGAGGTCAGGAAGTATAGTTCACGGAATGCCACGAACACAAAAATGTTATGGAAATCGAATACAACTGGCTGAAGCGATGTGTGCAAGTTAATGGAATAGAGTACATGGAGATATTCATATGAGAAATAAAAGCATTAAGGCACAAACTGTAAAATGGAGACATAATGCTAATATAACATCTGTGATCATCATTGGAGGAGGAAGCTAAAGGGAAGAGGACGGACAAAGAGATGCACAACACGAATGCCATTCAGGTCGACTCTTGGCAATGTCGGCTAGTGTATCTAACCAAACGTGTTCATCGTCTTTCGATACCCAGTCCAGCAGTTGGGAAACACCAACCTGTGTCAAATTCGAAGGGAGGGACTTCATTCCTCTTGACCCAGTTATCTTCCATCCAGACCACGGGCACACAAACAACGCACGATGCGGGAGTCGGTGGATTGGCATTCATAACACATGGCCCAGCCATCGGCGCCTAGTGCGTGATATAACGTGCTGAGCGGTTCATTCGCTCTTCCGGCACCAAATACGCGACGCCGATCAAATATATTGCTCACGCGGTGTTCCTACCAGACAACATGAGCTAAGCTGCGAAGGCAATGGTGGTCGAAGGTAAGCAGCCTCTTATGTCTGTCGACCTGATGGGCCAGGTGTGGCAACCATATAGGAGGGTTGAACGGACGACTGCATAGTAAACTCTGCCCTTCAGAGCGACAGTAAGGTTACTTCAGCGCCACAGGTGATGGAAATTCGCGAAAGCGCATCGAACACTTGCTATACGGTTCGTGATCTCGTCTTCGATCCAAAGGGCGCTAATATAGCTGCCCAGATATTTAAATTTCTCGAGGACTTCTAGCTGATCAACACCAAAGGTCAGCGCAAGTGTGGGGGCCTGTCTATCTTGGAAGACTTTACATTTGGAGGGTGCAAAGGATAACCCGAAAAGACTGACACCCAGAGCTAATTTATCCAGCGCAAGTTGGCACGTTCAGGATCTGTCACAGATGAGTATAATGTCGTCGGCATACTCCAAGTCCAGAAGTTGTGCACCTGGGATCAACTCCACACGTTCTAAGCTGTGCCCGGGGAAGGCCGTTTCTGTGACTTCGTCAACGGCGTAGTTACAGAGGAAAGGTGACAGCGGGCAACCATGTTTCACACGCTGGAGATTTTGAAGGGCCGCGAAAGCTTGCCGTAAACCGTGACTCTGCACGAACTATGTGCGTACAGAGCAATTATGACATTTACATATTTATCGGGCGGACCTGTCCTCAACAGACATCCCCAAAGGGCACAACGATCAACCGAACCAAAGACCCCTTTGATGTCTAGGAACACGACTATGGTGGGTCGCCAATATGGCAGTGCTCTAACAACTGGCGTAGTGCGAACATGTGGTCAGTGCACCCTCGATTTTGACGAAACCAGGCTTGATCGTTACGGATCTGGTTTTCACGAGTGCCAGTCAGTCCATGGAGTATGACAGAGGCAAGTAACTTAAGGGCAATAGAGAGCAGACTGGTTCTTCTATGACTGCCGAATTCTGAACGGGCCTCCCATGAAAACTGGAACTATTGCGGAGTGACTTCAGTCAGTTGGGACAGTCTCCAACTCAAATAGATTCACTAATAAGTTATGTAAGTCATCCACAAGAGCAGGGCCTGCCAATTCCAAGAGGGACGGATGAAGTCCGTCTGCTGTAGTGGTCTTGTTCAATTTCAGCTGTCCGAACTCACGTTCGATTTCTGTGGGTGAAGGCGGATCCAGGGACTAGGGCGATCAATGGCGGATAAAGAAACCGACAACTCTCACTAATTAAACTGCTTCTCAAAGTGTTCCGCTCAATGCCCCGAGCGCTTTGACAAACCACGAATCGTCTGTCGAATCTCGTCGCATATGGTCTCGCTAATACCAGATTTCTTCCCGCGCGTTTCTCGCGTCAGACGTAACAACTTCAGATGGTTACCATAGACAGCGGCAGTTTCCATCTCCGAGGCAAGATGAGAGCAACAGGCTTCGCGTTCTCGCATCAGGATAACGCGCAGTTTCGCTCAGAGAACTCTGCGAGCCGCACTGTATTCGCTTCCCACCGGAACACGCCGCAGAGCACTCAGAAGTTCCAGAGACTGTGCGAAGACCCAACGTCCAGGTTGTCAGCATACATTAACCATGACTGGTAAGGTTAGGTGGGAATGTGAAGAAATCGGGAATAACAAGTAAGCTGGAAATGTGTTAGCTGAGACTGAGACAGTATACTGTAGTATGAAGGCGTCAGGTGTAGGTAAAAAAAACTTAGAGGAAATCCTCAACTCCAAATGAAGCATATCAACACATACCTCTATTCTACCAGGTGGTCACACAGAAGAGCCGCTGTCCTACATGAAATAACCATAAAGGGGCCATTTGTGACATCAGCCTTAGATTCGGAAAATAGGAACATAGCCAGGTGGTCAGAAAATTTGTGGTGATAAACGGTAAGATGATGTAGTAGAAGGTGCATTGAAAGGACTAAAACAGAGATGAATGACAAGTAACA